TGGTCAGTGACACCAGCGGCTGAATCAGGGACACCTGGGGCAGAGCGGACTATCAGAAGAGGGGGCTATGAGGGGTCTAGGGTGGCATTCCCTCCCACCCCAGACCCCTCATAGCCCCCCCTTCCGATAGCCCGGCATATCTGATAATCCGGCACCCCTGGGTCCCAAAGGTGCCGGATTATCGGAAGTTTACTGTATATTGTTTTCCACGGGAGCTAATCAGAGGGACAGCTATACTGCAAAGTGACCACAGGGAGCATCCACACCAGGAAGGGAGTCGTCAACAGGGGATGGAGCTCTCCATCTTGCTGGCCACTGGCCCAGGTAAGTGGCCCCCCTTGTGCCAAACCTCTCCCTCCCTGGCTCTTGGCTGCAGAGTTGGCCTGAAGGAATGGGAGGGAAAGCCCTACTGATGCGCCCCCCTGCAAGCACCACCAGGGCTGTGAAGTGCCAGTTCTCTCCCCACCGGAGCCACAGTCTACCACCTCCCTCAGCAGCACCGTTGGGCTGCCCAGCATAGCTGTGCCTAGTGGCCTGTGTGTCCCATGCCCCCTCCAGCCTCTGGCTGGGCCCAGGCAATGCCGGTCAGTATTCTAGTTACAGAATGCATTTTGAAAGATGGCTCTATAGAAGGAATTCTAATATAGCTTTGATTTCAGCTACTTCTTTATTATAGATCATATGCATTATTTCTTGGAAATAAATAACCACAAAGATGTTCCACTAATGTCTTGAACTGTTAGGGCCAGGTTCTACAAAGATTTGCACGCATGCACGCGCACACACACTGAAACCAGCAGGATCAGGGCCTTATGGTGTTAAATGCATTCATTGATATTACATCATGATTTTTAAATGGGATGATATAATAAAGTGTGATACATTTGTCCACATATTTTCTACTTAATTAATCACCTTTCATTTTTTTCTAATATTTGTTTCTGATTTTTGTTGCTACAACTTCAAGAGTTACTCTGGAGATGTATCAGCTGAATGGTTTAGGATTAGTGTATTTCAGTGTTTAAGGCTGTTATATTATTAAAGTGATGGATAGTCTTCACCACTACTAATGGCCCTTGATATGTTATTTTATTTAAAGTACATTATTGGAGACTTATTGCAATGATTAGCAGACAGACTTATTATCTAAAGGTTTTATTCTCCAAAAGATAGCTACTGCCCTTCCTGGCAGCAGGAGAAAAAGACTACCTGGTGAAGTCAGAGGAGAGCCATCCCTTTCATTAATGATTTGAAATACTCAGTTGTCTGACCTTAAAAACACTTTTGTGCAAAGATTAAACAATAATTCCTTTGTTTATCCACAAGCAATAATCCCAGCTTTAAATTCTATATATATTTCTGAGCAGGTTCCTCCTATTGCTATTCAAAATAAATCTATCCAGTTTAAATTACACATAACTATTACTTATTGTAGCATCACAATTTTTGCATCCTTTTAAGAGTGTGCTCATATAGCCTGTATCATAATATATGTGCACAATGGGGATGAATTCTAGTTGCACAAGCTATCTTAATTATGGCATTTTCTAACTTATGAGCGCTCAACTTTGTAAACTTCACTTTTTTTGGTGTGTGCAATATATTTTATATACTTGACAAAGAAGCCATTTATGACTGACTTAGGTTTCCAAATGAAGTATTTGCAGCAGATGAGAAACCATATCAGGGTATCAAATAGAAAATTTTAAATATAAAACTAATTAAAATAGAATACCACAACAATTCTTCATAGAAATAATGAAACATTTTACCAGTTTGTAGCATACTGCAAATGCAAGTAGATAGGTGTCTTTGATGAATTTTACATGTTGTTTTTTCATTTCTACCAGCACTTCCAAGGCACCTGCCAAAAACCATGCTTATTATTGGATTAATGTGCTTCACTAATTGGGGCTCTTATACTTAATACATGACCCATCCACTACTGAAAAACAAGATTATTTTTGAGCTCATATAATACTGTAATTTGCAACATTTTAAATGTACACTTAAGAATTATTAGTTTAAAAAGAGACTTTACATATAAATCATACATTGTCAGAAACCTTCCATCAGTGTCAGGTGGATATATCTATTGTTTTACAAAAGGGATGAGATGAATACTTGAATTTGGGTTAAATTTGTATGTAAATCTAATCTTATTGTCAAAGCTATATTTGTACAAATCTGATTCTCAAATCATATGCCTGCCTGCCATCATCCCAGATCCCCAGACACCAGGCAGTGGCCATTTAAAAATAACCCTGTACAGCATTTCCTCAAGCTCCCAGCTGCTGCTACTCTACACACCGGCCCTCTGTCTAATCCCTAAATCTGATCATTTCCAGGACAGCTTGTCTCCTTGACCTACTGACCCTGGCAATATATGAAGTAAGATTTGCCAAATGCCAAAACTATGTGCTAGATATTCTATAATTTTTTTAAAAAAGTGGATTTGTCTTAACCTTACTTTACACTGTGCTTTACATTTTTCAGATTAGAAAAACCTTTCTAGACCACATGAGACAGCTTCCCAGGTCTTCATATAGGGCAAGACTGTGATTTTAAGACAATGGGAGTGATGTGGAGAGACGCGTTGACTGCATGCATTTTCAGAACAGAGCCTCTGAACAATTTTCTTACAAGCATTTATTTTCCAGATGCTCTAACGCCCACAAAAATGCCTGAATAAATTTTCTTCAAACTTCCCCATCTCACTAATAAAACAAAGCAACCCTCGGGGAGGAAAATATTAAAAAAAAAAAAAAAGCATGAGGTGTGTCAGTCTACAGGACATTTTTCAAGACATTAAGCCTTTGGAAAATAGGAGTCTAAAACAAAAGGCTCTCCACTCAACCATAATTGTAATGTATTGCTAATGGGAGATTAGACTGCTGCTATAAGTACTTAATAAGTACACATTATGGAGCCCTTCAAATGCTGTTGCACAGGCTGTGCAGCTTTCAAATCCAAGAGTGATCACATACGGCTCAACTAGCCAAAAGAAGCATAGTGTTCAGTGTTATTTATATCTTTAAAATAGATCCATGATTACATTTAAGATGTATGCCTTGCTCAAAATGCATTTGCCTTAACATTTAATTCAGTACTTACTTTCATAATGACCTTTTTTAAACAACATATCCATCAAAATATTGAATGATGTGCTATCAGAGAAGAAGCCATGCAGAGTCTGGTGAAGAAACATATAAACAGAGCCGGTTTTAAAACTAAATGGCTTTACCACATACCACATCTTCTCCAGCTGCCGACTGGCCACGTCCCTTAAGTGAGACATTTGGTTCTCAAAGTTCTCCATGTGTTCTCAGTGGAGTAATCTTTAATTTTCCATTGAACTAGATCATTTTGGGTCATTGATTTTTGAAGAACTTCCTACTGAGTTCTGCTTCATAAAAGATCAATGGCAGGATATGCCCTTTATGCTAATACAAACAGAACTCTCTGGGAGCAGGCAACTTCGAAAGTTTAACAGTTTATAAACCAGGTTTGGGTTTTCCTGTAGCTGAACGCAGATTAATGGTGTCTTTGAAGGACAAAGTGCAAGTACCAAACTGAAGGAGTTCTTTGCTGAACACAGAACAAAAATATTGTGCTGACCAGGACGGGAGCTGGAATTATGAGGAGCAGAGTTTAATGAGCTAAAACATTACAATGAAAAAAAATGAGCACATCTTCCCCTCACTAAAATTATACTGAACATGGAACATTCACATGGAATGAATGAGACACAATATAATGCTAGAAGTAAATTAAGTTTGAATTTCTACCCACAGATGCTTAACAAATGACTGTCACTGTTGAATGTTACTGTGGAGAATGAAGGAGCTAAAAGGAAGGCTGCGACTTTGGTAGGGACATCACACCATTCCTTGTAATTGTGAATCTGAATAAAGTCCATGATCTTTGTAGCAACAGCTCCTTTTTCCTCCAGGAGTTGCAACCTGGTTCATATGATCACAGATCACGTTTGGTGTGCCCACTCTATAAAAGTTAGTGGCTTGCAATCCGGTGGACTAGGTTACAATACCCATTCAATTTAGCCCTCTGTCCACCCCTCCATATATGGAGGGATAGATGAGCCACACATTAGTGGTGCTGTGACCAAGTATCAATGCCTACAGCAGGAAGCCAAGCTCAGCCCTACATGACAGAAGCTACTGCTGTGGGATGAGTGCAAGGCAGGCTTCCTCTCTACCTTCCCCTCCCCCTTCCTCAGGGCCTTCTCCCCTCACTGGGAACAACTCACTCTCCATCCCTTCCCATAGTTCCCCTTTCCACAACATAGCCTTGTTTTCACCTCTGCCATTAAATTCATTGCATTTTTTTTAGTGAAAAAAGTTGCAGCCTTACATGTATGTGGTACTTTTAAAAATATACCATGCCCTGATGGTTATCTCTTCAACACTGATTTTAACTTTTGGTAGTCAAGCAAATTAAAGAAGGTTAAGGGAGAAACCAGCAGGAAAGGCATGACAGTTGCAAAGATAAGGCTTCTTGGAGAAATAGTGAGGGACCTATCTATTGGGAATAGCCCTTGTCTGGCTCCAGCTAGTCTGGCAAGGTGTATTCATCCCAAACCAAGCCTATGATCAAGGTGTTCCTAAAACACAGTGTGTGTCTTCATGATACAGTCAGTCTGAGTTACAACTTGAGTGTTACGTCCCAGTTTGACTCCCATGCACACACACAAATCTTCAGCTTGAGCTGACAGGTGCTTTAAGGATGAGTTAGATCAGGCAATTTTTGATGGGCAGCCAAGCCAAGATTTTGGAAAGTGATAGAAGGCATGGGGTCTGGGATGGAAGTTGGGTGCAGAAAGGAGCCTGGGGTAAGGGACTGGGATGTAGGGATTTGGATGTAGGATGTGTAAGGGAGTTTGGGTGAAGGAGGCAGTTGTGACCTGGATGCAGGAGTTTGGTTATGATCTAGGGCAGGAGGAGCTGTGACTACAGGCAGGTGACTGGAGTGCCAGATCTGGGAGGGGGTATGGGTTCAGGAAAGAGGCAGAGGTTTTGGCTTATGTTGGGTGGGGGGAGAGAGGGGCTAGGATGCTAGAGGCAGGCTCTGGCTGGGAGACTTTCCTGGGTGACTCCTGGCCAGCAGCCCAGCACGTTCTTCAGTCAGCATCCTTGCATGCCCCGCCCCTTCACAGGCTGCACAAGCCATGTGCGTCTGTGAATAAGAGCCTGAGGGGAGGCGAGAGTAGTACTTCACACACTGCCTGTTCTTCAAACAGGATACTCCAATTGGCATTGTGTGTGGGGCGGGGGCAGCATTTCCCTGCTCCCCCTGGCTCGCAGCTGAGAAACACAAACTGCCCAGCAGCCAATTTTCTGGGCAGTGTGTGGGGGCCAGGACAAATAGGGAGTCTATGTGAGGCTCCCTGCTGCATCTGTGGGCCAGTTATAATGGATTGGCGGGCCAGATCCAGCCCATGTGCCTTATTTTGCCCAGCCCTGAGTTAGATGCTCTGTCAGCTGGGATTGTGCCTAACAGCACAAGCAGAAAGATTTTCTTCAGCTTCACTTAAGCTAGCATGTTAAAAATAGCAGCATGAATGTTCAGTAAGGGTGGTGGAGAGGACTAACCATCTCAGCTCAGGTGATTGTGCTGGGTCTGAGCTCAGGTGTCTAGCACATGCTGCAACATCCACATTGTAATCTTTAGCACCCCAGCTTGAACCGGATTCAAGGTTGCTTGGGTAAGCTAGCTGGTGCAGTTTTGTTGTGTAGACATGCCCTGAGGCCAACACCAAGAAAAATAGAGAAACACACAGGGACTGCAGCAAGTAGGACGGCTCTCCCAAACCACAGATGGGAATAAACTGAACCTACATAAAGTAGCTTAAGCTTAATTAAGGGAATATATTCAGTGCTGTTCTTTTGGCTCATCTGCCAAAACACCGTGTTCCCTTTGGCAATTAAATACTACTTTGTTTTCAAGATGCTGTTTCCGAGTCACTTCAATCAACAGCTGTCACTCATTCCTGAAGAAAAAGGGCTTACAGGTGCCAAAAGTGGTTGGGGCAGTTGGATTAGCATAGGCTGGCTAACACAGGTGTGCTACAATCTGAAGACTCAGTCTAGGGCCATGGTGTCCAATCAGTTCTGAAGTAGTAGCCACTATAGTGGCTAAAGCTCAATCAGCCAAATAGCCACATGTGGCTAGCGTGTTGGACACCATGGATCCATGGATCTAGGGAGTGGTTGGACCACATGATTCCACCCAGAGGGAGGTGCAGGCAGTTAGGCCTTTTGCCTGAGGGTTGCACTCAAGAAGGGACACAAAAGTGTCTGAAGTAGGGATGTAAAATCCTGTTTAATTGGCTACAGCCTCTCTCCGACTTACGAACCGGTTACAGACCAAGCAATTGCTCATAACTCGGTTTGTTCATAAGTCGGACCCCACTGAGTTACATGCAACTGCACTGTTCATAAGCGCGGATCGCGTTTGTAACTTGGGGTCCGCCATTTACGATAGTTTTGGTTGTAACTGCGAATAGTTGTAAGTCAACCATTCGCAACTCAGGGACCGGCTGTAACTGGTTAAACATATTATTTAAAGGGAAGCAAGGGGAGTGCTCTAACCCAACTGGAGCGCCCCTCCCTGCCCACCGCTGGGCTGGAATGACTCCCCCTCTCCTCCCGCTGAAGGCAGGGACTGGCTCCAGCCTGGCCAGAGCAGCCCCTGCCTTCTGCAGATCTGGGCACCCTGAAGGCAGGGGCTGCTCTGGCATCCCAGTCCGAGCAGCCCCTGCCTGTGGGGTGCCCGAGCCTACTGCAGGCAGAGGCTGTGCTGGAGCAGCCCCTTCCCCACAGCAGTTCCCCCACAGGGCTGAAGCAGTCCCCTGCCCACGGCAGGGACTCCAGCTCCACTGGTTAACCTTAACCAGTAAGGCTCCTCTCTTTACATTACAGGCCTCCAAAGTGCATTCACCCCTGTAGTAATGACCTATGTTGCATGTATATAGTACTTCGTTTCTTCAAAATGCTGTCCCAAAACTAGACTTTAGAATTGTAAAACAATAAGGGACTGGTTTTTAAGAGGTGCTGAGCACACACAGTTCTCATAAGCTTCAAGAGCTCCTGAAAGTTCTCAAGCTTTCTAAATGTGGGCCCAGTCTTCTATACAAAAACTCACAACCTGGTGACTCCCAAAGATGATGTTATGGAATCAACAATGCACCAATATTTACCACCTCAATGATAGGTGTGTTTGGTAAGCTAGAGAACTATTTGAACCAATACATTTTATAAAAATGTAATTAGTTTGAAAGCCAGCCAACTTCCCAATTACAACAGAAGGGACAGCATGACTGAATGTTTTCAACTGTTGTCCCTAATGGAGAAAAAGATGGGCTAACCACCACACACGTTTGTATCTTAGTAAATGAATTCCCATTATTTCTATACATCTTCCATTTTATTATAACTTTGAGCTTACAGGAGGTTAGGACATGCAACATATTACTGACCAAAATGAGAACTGAAATGGAAAATAATTATTTAAAAAGGGAAGCTACCTGATCTTTGAGGAGCTCTAATGCAGGTACGTCAAGGTCCAGCTCATAACACAGCCTCATAAAAAGAGGTCCAAATTTAAAATCACCAAAGGCCACATTTCTGTTCTCTGCATGGTACCTGATTAGGAAAGATTTTTAAAATGTAAACACATCAGGAGTAGAAAATTGCAACTAATTATGACTTCCAAGAATAATGAAATCCATACGTGAAATAGTTTAGGCAGCCTGTCCTGTCTGTATGCAGTTGATATTTAGAAAAATTGGAAGATCATTGCAAATTAATCTGTAACAGTTTAGCAATAGAGTGGGCCTAAATTGCTATAGCATTTATCTGTATTGTTTTTGTCACTGGGGATGATGTGTGAGGCCAGCATGAGTGGCTCACGTGCCTCCCTAAATGCTATGGGAAGGAGGGGTCAGCCAGCTCCTCCTAGAGGAGCAGATTACTGGGGGGAGGGAGAGAAGGGGAGACTGGAACCCACAGCAGGGATCAAGCTCCCCCTTGCACTCACCAGCAGCAGCAGGGGAAGCAAAGAAAGGTGGCTTCAGCTCGCTTTGCTTTTTCAGTGCACTGCTCCAGAGGAGAGCAGGGCTGCCCCTGCACTCACCAGTGGGAAGGGGAGCCACATACCCAGGGAAGCAAAGTGAACTGGGAATGCCTTTCCTCACCCTGCCCCTAGTGCCAGAAAGTGCAGGTGGTGGACTCATGCTGCCAGCATGGGTCCCCCCAGCCCTGTTAGTCCCTCAGGCCGCCTTAGGGAATACGTGGAGAGAAGGTGGAGTGGGGTGGGAAAGGCAGGGCATGGGGCAGAGGGGGGTTGTCCCGGCTCTTCCCCAGGCTGGAGAGGAGGGAGGGGGTCAGGTGGCTGATGGCACCCTTGGTTCCCTCCTCACCAATCTCTTCTGTTTGTGGCAGTAGCTTTTTAGTACACGAGCTACTGCAAAATGTGTTGGATTGACAGCCCTAAATACTCTAGGCCTCTGTTTGCAAAGCAAAAGCAGTAGAGGCAGCAGCAAGCCCATTTCCAACATGCTTCCACCCTTTTTTGCAGGGCAACATCTAGGCACAAGCAGCTCTTTCACTCTCCATAGTCCTTTTTTCCTGTTTCCTGAGCTCACCATTTCATCACTGCTAGAGAGATACATTACAGCAGTGGTAACCAACTAGTAGACTGGGATCTAGCAGTAGATCTTGGAGCCTCTGACAGGCGATCTTCACTGGTTTGGACAAGAGGCTATCAAAGAGGCCAGCACGTCAGCTGCTCTTCTCCTCACTGCTGTGTACCTCCTGCCCTTTTCCTTAGAACCATCCTCCCACTCCTGCTTGCAGGGCAAGGCAGGGAAGGAAGGGGAGGGGGTGTTGATGTCAGCGTGCCCCTTCTCCCGCCCTGTAGTCTATCTCCACAGAACAGAGGGGGGCAAAACAGGGCTTGGCATGGAGGGAGTTTGCTGGCTGCTTTTAAGAATGGTACAGGGCCGGGCCAGGGCAGGGGTGAGCCTGTCTTAGCCCCATTGCACCACCACCCAGGAGACACCTGTGATAAGCAGTGTTTAGCTGGAGCCTGCATCCTGAACCCCTGCCCCAGTCATAAACCTCCTCCTGCACCCAAAGTCCCTGCCCTAGCCCTGAACCCCCTCAGACCCAAACTCCCTTAGAGAGCCTGTACCCTGAATGCCCTCCTGCACCCAAACTCCTACCCCAGGCTCAGCTCAGAGCCCCTATCACACTCCAAACCTTCAGCCCAAGACCAGAGCCTGCATCCCAACCCTCTGCCCCTGCCTGACGAAAGGGAGGAAGGATGGGGGAGTGAGGGAGGATGGAGTGAGCAGGGATGGAGCCTTGGAAAAGGGGCATGAAGGAGGTAGGGCAAGGGTATTTGGGTTTGAGGTAGATCCAGGATTGCAGTTAAATTAAAAAAAGTGATCTCATGTTTAAAAAGGTTACATTACAGTTAAAATTACCATAAGTGCATAACTGAAATATACAAGGAGCCAGAGAAAACAATTTGCTTTAGAGTTTTTAAGTTACCTGTAAATAACATTTTTAGCTATTTCCAGATCATCTGGTGTCTGGCACAAATGCAGTAATGTTTTTAATTCCTCTTTGAGGATCATTCCATTTTTCTTCAATTTTTCTTCAATATTTCTAAAATATGAATCTGAAAGTAAAAAATTGTTGCAGCAATCTGTTGGACACAGCTCCTTCAGTCAGCATACGCTGTACTGGAAATATGACAATTTCACAGGCTACATCTATGCTACAGCACTGATGCAGCTGTACTGTTGTAGCACCTGTGGAGAAGATGCCCTAAGCAGACAAGAGAGAGCTCTCCCACCGGCTTAATAAGTCTGACTTCTGCAAGAAGCTCTCCTGATGATATACTGCTGTCTACGCTGGCACGTAAGTCAGTATAATTTACTTCACGCAGGGGTGTGGATTTAAGCTCCCCCTGAGCTGCGTGACCATGCAACAGCCTATTAAGTGCTAGGCATGCACTCAGGGCTGCAGCAGGAAGAGATGCCTTTCTTGCAGCCTTGGACCTGCAGCAGCTGGGAGAGGTATTGTCCCCACCAGTCCAAGCCTAGGACCAGACCTGCTGCTACCAGGGAAGAGGCACCCTACTCCTGCCCCCAACCAAGCCCATCCCTGGACCTTTTGTTGCTGGGGGAAGTGCATCCCTCTCCTGCCCCAACCCAGTACCACCTCAGAGCTGCCTCAGCTGGGTAAGAGGCAACTATCCCTCTCCCTGGAGCTGCTGTGGCATGAAGAGGTACCTCCCTCAGTAGTAAAGTTGCTACTGCAGGGAGAGAATGGTGGGCGAATTCGCTCTCCTTGCCCTAGCCTCAGGACAACCTGCATCCCAAATCCCTCATCCCTAGCCTCACACCAGAGTCCCCTGTAAGCTGAGTGCTGGGTACCTGAGAGATTCAGGTACCACCCAGCTGATTAGTAGAGCACTCAAAGCTCACACAGCCAACAGCATGTATTTCCATTGGTGGAGCATATCTGCACATACCTCAGTGCACATAACAAAATTTATTCTGCACATGGATGGAAACAAATTGCAGGGAACATTGGCCCTCCACTCCAGTGCACCCAACCTTCTACCCCAGCTCTGAGCCCCTGTCATACTCCAAACTCCTTGGCTCCATGCATGGGCAGAATGAATCATGTTATGTGCACCAATCATTGGTGCACATAATATAATTCATTCTGCGTATGCCTGGAAAATTAGAGGGAACACTGGATTTTATTCATACCCTTAAGCAATGTAAGTTATAGGGAAGTAATCTGTAATGTAGACAAAGTCACAGCATTAAAAGGATTCCCCCAGTAAAAGGCATAAAACTGCCCACAGAGAAGTACATATCTGAGGATTTTCTTGAAAACTTGAACATTTGAAAGAGATAGGCATTATTTTTAGGGTAAGTCAAATTGTCAACAGCTGATTATGTACCACCTGCATTGTTTTTTTACTCTCCCAAGGTGCTAATGTGGCACAATTAGATGCCATATACCTCATGTTTAACTTAGGAGCCTCTCACTCTTATTCTATTTTGCATATGACATGCTGACAATTTTTAACAGTCTTTATCTTTTATCTCAGGAAATAATTCTCAGCTCGCATCCTGCCCTCCTTCCCACACACAAAGAAGAGGTTATTTAAGATTGGGTTCTGCATCTTCACTTTTACAGATCATCTCCTAGTCCAAAACACCTAATTTTCTTCTTTGAGATAATCTCAGCATTTGTGGAATTAAAAAGGTTATTATTGACAGAAACTAAATCTGTGGATAATCATGCAGTTTCTTGCATAACCTTTATGAACATCTCAGGGCAGATTTATTTTTCATTAAAGAAAGGGAGAAGGAACCTCTATAGATTTTCCTACTGAGACTCTGTCCATTAACTATAGCAGAATAAGACCGTACTCCTCAATTCTTTTGGAGAACCCAAACTTATCTTCCATATTTCTAGTTTACAGGTGTCACTGGAATCAGAGGAAATGCAAGATGAGAGGCTGGGAAAACAGAAATAGCCAAATAGCACACAACTGCTAATTTACAAAGTGGATTAAGACAGAATTATTGGCATAAACATCTTCTGGATACCTAAGCATTTACTAAATATTGTACTGTTTCTCTGTAGAAGAAAACAGTTACCTGTTCTAAAGAGTTCCCAAGTTGCACTGTGGTTTGGTAGTCTTGACTGGAACAAACAGAAATATTAAGCACAAATTATAATATTGATGATATTGCTCAATAAAATAAATACAGATACCTTTATCACCATAAATTTTATGTTCAGTCGCCACCTTCTTCTGCTGAAATTCTTGCAATCGTATAACATCATCTGTTAACAGATATCGCTTTGCTAAAAATGGGACAGAAGGAAGGGGAAGAGTCAACATAATATTAGATTTACTGTTTGACAACACTGAAATTTGCAGTTAGGGAACTACTGCCATCATTTACCATGTAATGCAGGACAAGAAGAAGTTTTAGGGCCTGGTTTTCAGAAGTGCTAGGCACCTGCAGCTTAGTCAATGGAAGCTGTGGGAGTTCAGTGCCTTTAAAAGCCAGGCTCTTAATGTGCATCATGGACAGAATGTGACACTACACCTGGCACCTTCTTTCTCAACTGTGAGTTATGACACTTTATGACAAAAACAAGTATTTACTCCTGTAGCTTTACAAGGTAAATACTGATAAGGAGGAATGAGCAGTATAATAGTCTTGTCTCATACATAAATAAAATAAACTGCAAAAGAAAAAATTAAATTAAGATGTGTGTTCCCCCACTAACTAGGCTGTGAGAGCATTCAGAACAGAATGTAAAATCCTTGTGGCAGTGGTCCTTTCTGGCTTTCCCAAGAGATCCCACAATACAGCATTCTATGACAGCACAAATAGTGGCTGTGAGGAGACTGATATTTTGGCTATCATAGAACGATGCATTCTGGGATCTCACGTAAGCCAGGAAATACTCAAAGAATTTCACAAAAGGGAAAAATATAAAAGATAGGCATGTATTATATGCATCACAACAGCACCAAGCAAGTTTGGAGCTCTTATGTGCTAGGCTGTATAGAAGTACATAAGATGACTGGGGATGTAAATGGTTAACAGGAAGGGGCTGCAGAACACCTCCCTCCCCTGTCTACTGGGGGGGGAGGGCTGGCCCTGCCTTCTCTCTCCCTCCCCACCTCTCCCTGATTATATGCTGGCTCCTGGGGAGGCAGCTTTGCTGCAGCAGGGCAGTGATGAAGCCTTACTTAAGTTTTATATTGCAGAGCCTGCAGCACTGTAACTACTAGGACTTTTAACTGTTACATTTTTAAACAAAGTTATGCATCCTTAAAGACCACATAGTTCTTGCCTCAAAGAGTTTACAATGTCAGAACACCTGATGTTGAAATCTTTTATTTTGTTTTGCATCTCATCTTTTTCTGCTAATTATCGGCTAAGTTCTGTTTGCAAAATCTTTACTATCACCAACATCTGATCAGTAACAGAACCTATCTGCAACAAAACAATTTTGACAGGGTTATTGTAATCGTTTACTTTTCCACAATCGTCAGAGGGGTAGCCGTGTTAGTCTGAATCTGCATAAACAATGAGAAGTCCCGTGGCACCTTACAGGCTAACAGATTTATTGGAGCATAAGCTTTCGTGAGCAAAGACCCACTTCATCAGGTGGCTGCCTGCATGCAGGGAGCTCCCCCATTGCTGCTGCCTCCCCACACTGCTTGCTGCCTCTGTATCAGAGACAGCAGTGCCGGGTGGCAGAGCGGGAGCCAGTCTGCATGGGGAGCCGTTTTTAAAATCAGCTTCTCTCGTGGACCGGTTCCCGAGTGCCGCCACCGATACAGAGGCAACAGTGCAGGGGGCAGGTGGCAGGGGGCCCCCCAGGACTGGGGCCAGGAGTGTGCTGGCTGCCAGCCCCGATTCTGGGGACTATCAAATAGTTGTGTAATGGATAATATTTTGTGCAGTTACACAATTATTCAGTTACACGTTATCTAACATCCCTATAAATGACACTATTCTCCTATTACCTACTGAGCTAGAATCCTGAAAATCATTCCTCTCTCCACTACCAAAATGTGTCATTTCTAACATTTCATCAAGAGATCATCATTTTAGTAATTTATTTTTTAAGCGATCCTCTGATTTGGAGATTAAAGATAACCTAAGATTTTATTTATTGGATTTTCACTAACAACATTGCTGAAGGTGTGAAACTGCGCCACAATAAGCGTTGTTAATATCCACAGCCAGTGCTTTTTTTGGGGGGGAGGAGGGAAGGTGCTGGTACTCCAGGGGAAAAATTGTTGAGCTCTGACTGGAGGTGCTGGTACTGCATCTGGAGGTGCCAGTACTGAGTACTGGGGCAGTACTGTCACAAAAAAAGCACTGCCACAGCTGTCCAAAGCATGGAGTTCAGTCAGCTAAGAGATAATGGTGTCCCAGGGCTGCATATTAAACTTTATTTCTCTGTTCAAAGGCAGAAAAAAAAACCACATGGAGATTGTCAGATCCATGGCTGAGTGTAGCCCTTGCATTTAGAAAAGCCATCTTTTGACTAATAAATTGTACAAGTTTAATATGAACATAACAGGGAGAGATAAAAGGCATTAAACTCCAAAATACCATTTTACTCCCCCATCTCTCTGCTTTCCTCTTTCACCTGTTCTCTCTTGCTTTACACTCAGCCTTAAGCTCTTTTGGGGATGGGGGAACGGTCTTTTTTGTTCCATGTTTGGACAGTGCCTTGCATGATAGGGTTGGGATTAGGGATGTAAGCGACTGGTCACCCCCCCTCCCCTTGTTGCCTCAAACAGTCCCCACTGGCCCCACACTCCCTGTGGCTCCTGGGGCCCTTGTACATTTCAAAAGCAGGGAGTGCAGGGTTAGCAGGGGACTGTTTTGAGTCCCCCGCTGGCCCTGCGCTCCCAGTGGCACTTCCGCATAGGAAATGTAGGAAGAGCTGGCAGGGCTATATTTCAAAGGTAGAGGTGCCCTTATCAACTAATCAAATAGTCGATGCAAATTATATTGACTATTCGATTAGTTGATTAATCTAAATTTAACATCCTTAGTTGGGATCCCAGTCCCTGATGAGTTTCTTAGTACAACTATAATACAAATAATATATTTTTTGACTAGCTTAGTTTTCACATTTCATCAGGATGTACAAGTCACCTAGTACAAACTCTACAGTATAAAAGCTAACTCAAGAGGTTTTCTTTGCTATGTCACTTTCTTGGGAAAAAACAAGTTGTGGAGGGCAAGTTGATATGCACATTGATTGCAAAGGAAAGATACAAGGTTCTAGATAATTTGAAAATAGAGGATTATGCACCCAGAGCCAGAAACCCCTTACAAAAATAACCCTTCTGGTACTCCAGGATTCCAGAACTCTGGAAGGTCACTTCTTAATGTCAAGTTTTACATGGCAAGCATCCAACACAAGAAGAGTCAAGAAGTCTACTTCATATATGGCACCCAGATAGCGTGGTGGCAGACACAGCAGAAACAGACAAATATAGAAACCTAACCATAATACCCAGTAAAAAGTGAAGTAAAGAGCATTAAATGCAAATGTATGTAGTTTTGAAAATCTGTGTAAGGGGTTCAAAGAGTGAAATATAGTTCTTTATTAGGTAATTAGAAACATTTGGAGGACAATGTGGACAGAGGCCATGGAAGTCACCACTGTGTAATGCGTAGTGGGAAACAATAGAACTGGAACAATCACCATGAAACATACGCAGTAAAGCTCTGAAAAAACTAATTATGGAGTTGGGAGAACACTTCTGGTTTAGATTCTTCACATGAAACAATGTCTTATATTCCTTCATTGTGTTAATTATACATATCCCGTTTCCATCCCAAATCAGTGAATATTACTAAGAAGCTACTAGTATATCCCACCACTGCAGCTATAAAGTCTAATGTCAGAACTGTGATTACAACTCAGACACTTCTATTTTGGGGCTTGATCCTGCTAAATCTCAAATGCCCTCAAATCCCTGCCCCCAAAAGACTATGATCTGAAAGATAAAAGAAAACAAAATTCCAGGGAAAAGCATAAAAATCATAAGCAGAGAAATTGTTTGGGGGGGGGGGGGGGGGGGAGACAGATACATGCATTATTAATGCTGCACTAAAATATATAGCTACTATTTGTCTCATTGGAAGATCTACTCCAAACCGCCTCTTTTCCCAGATAAAAATTATTTTACCTGCTGCAACTGAATGGGGTTTTTAAACATTTTCACAATATTTTCTAAACATGAAAAAAAATGTTTATTCTATGTAAACAAACTCATTTACTAGAAGCTGCTAAAGGATAGGAGTGGATGGCATAGAGAGGAACAGCAACACCAGACATGGACAGCTGATAGCTGCAAATACAAGCGGCTCTCTAGCCCAGTGGTTTTCAAATTACAGGTTGCAACCCAGTACTGTGTCGCAGGATGTCAGGCACTGGGTCTTGTTGCTGTAGGTTGATCAGTGGGGCTGCTAAGGCAGGTTTCCTTCCTGTCCTGGCACCACAGGCTGCAATGCACTCCACAAGGGGCTAGCAACAGGCCTGGGTCCTAGGTGAGGGCAAGGAGCAGAAGAGCACACAGCGCTTTGTGTACTACTCCTGCCCTGAGTACTTCCTCTGCACCCCCACTGGCTAGAACCCGTTGCTGGCTGCTTCTGGGGCACAGCATGATGTGCAGTGCCAGGAGAGGCAGGAAGCCTGCCTAAGCACCCCTGCTGCATGGCTGACCAGCTGTTCGAGGTACACCCCTCCTGCATTAGCCCAATGCTCTCATCCTCAGCCCTACCCTGGCACCCACGTTTTAGTCAAATTATAAGAGGTCGCCGCCATCAACAACTTTCTTCAACGGGGTCATAAACGAGCCTAACCCCAAACACAAGGGCGCACACGCCTGCAATGCTCCCCGCTGGCATGCCGAGGGGCTGCTCCATGCCAGCCTAGCAGGGATGGAGGGAGCTTGCAGGGACTACACAGCCCAGAAGCAACAGCGCCTCTTATCCGAGTCCACTAACGCCAAGGCGCTGCAGTGCATGCTGGGAAACGTAGTCCGCATGGGCCGCAGCACCGACATTAGAGTGCGCAGCTGGCTCTGGGGCCCAGACCAGCCTATACACAGAACTCCCCATCCGGGCCGCCCCGGGCCAACCACCGCGAGTACCTCCGTGCGGGCAGCTCCAGCAGCCGGGCGCCGCGGCGGCTGCGCGCAGCATGGAACGTTTGATCGCCTCCCGCAGGCATTCTGTCCTCGGGACGTACCACCGGCGCGCAGAAGCGGGGGGGAGAGGCCACCCGTAAATACGCTTCACCGCATTCTCTCTCCCCGTCCACAACCGGTGCTCTTCCGGGGGTAGGAGGGGCGCAAGGCTCCAACAGCTAAATAACTAGTTCAGGGGATCCTTGTCCCTGCGGTTGTTTTCTTCTCCTCCCCTTCACCTCAAGTGGTCCTCGGGACGTACCACCGGCGCGCAGAAGCGGGGGGGAGAGGCCACCCGTAAATACGCTTCACCGCATTCTCTCTCCCCGTCCACAACCGGTGCTCTTCCGGGGGTAGGAGGGGCGCAAGGCTCCAACAGCTAAATAACTAGTTCAGGGGATCCTTGTCCCTGCGGTTGTTTTCTTCTCCTCCCCTTCACCTCAAGTGTTGGTACAGACCGAGATGGCGGCCCCCGTGCTCCGGGCTGGGGTTGTGAGTGTGTCTCGCGCCGCAGCAGGTGGGTGATGGAGCGCGTGGCCCACGCAGCACGCGGGCTCCAGCTGCCTGGGCAGCGCTTGGCGCGATCGATTCCCGCGGGGCCCGGGCTAGGAGCTGCCCCACGGACGGGGTGCGGCAATGGTGTGCCCAGGCCCATAGGCTAGAGCAGGAGAACCGGGGTCTGCTCCTGGCTGAGGCGACGTACAAAATGGGGCTAATACAGGGCGTCTCAAATTTTCGGGCCACAGCCCACCCCGCTCAGTGCAGACCTTTCTGCAGACCCCCAGCCAACCACCCATTGTGGTAGAATAGGTGCAGGAGTGGAAGGTCTGGGAGGGGAAGGGAGGGGAGTGGTGCGGGATCTGGGCATGAGAGGGGTGGGAGGCACTTACCTGGCTCTATGCCTCCCACCGCTCCTAGGTACTGCTCCCAGTGACCTTGATTCTGGCCAGTGGGGGCAGCGGGGAAAGCCTGCACACAAGTGGTTTTCTGTAGCACTGTTCCCCCAGTGGAAGTAGGGAAAACGGGAGCATTTGGTGCTGTTTCTTTTCCCTGTAAGTCGGTTCTGGCCCATTAGCCCCTTACCCCCTCCCAGTGGAAAGCTGGTGCTGATGCTCCAACCTCTCTGGTGGGAGGGCAGGACTGGAGCACCAGAAACTCTTCCCCTTTGTGGCAGGGAGCCTGAGCCCTGAGCCTGTGGAACATGCTTTGAGAACCACTGGATTAATCTTACACACAAACACACACACACACCCATATCAAAAAACAGGACTATGTAGCACTTTAAAGACTAACAAGATGGTTTATTAGGTGATGAGCTTTCGTGGGCCAGACCCACTTCCTCAGATCAAATAGTGGAAGAAAATTGTCACAACCAAATATACCAAAGAATAATATTTTTAAAAAAATGAACACATATGAAAAGGACAAACACATTTCAGAACAGAATTCTGAAATTTGATTTGTCCTTTTCATATGTGTTCATTTTTTTGATTGTATCCTTCGGTATATATGGTTGTGACAATTTTCTTCCACTATTTGATCTGAGGAAGTGGGTCTGGCCCACAAAAGCTCATCACCTAATAAACCATCTTGTTAGTCTTTAAAGTGCTACATAGTCCTGTTTTATGTGTATTTAAACAGTGTTCAACTGCAGTGTTAACAAGGCCTACATCTTTCAGAATACACCACACAGCAGCATATGTCCTAGCCAATGCAGGTAGTTTTGGCAGGCCTAAATTCCCTTTCGGGTCATGGGCATAGATCAAACAGGATCTAGGCTTTGCCCTACCAATCTTTGGCCTTGCATGAGACTGCAAAAATGAGTATCAGTTTGGTCCAGAAAATAAATATTTCAAGGGGTTTTTTAAATGGAAAAAATAACTAGCTACTCCTAATATCATAGATATTAATATTGGGATCAAAATTAACAAAGCTGTGAGAACAGAGACTAACCCACCATTGTGCACATTAGGATCTCAGTGCAGTCAGGAATATCAAAGTCGGATAAACTGATTAAGTTGGTGCTTTCAGCAGAGTCCTCTTCAAAACTCTTGCACATTTTAAAGGGTATGTCATCCAGGTAGCTCATATTCTCTCGATAGTTTGCAACCTAACAGAAAAAAAGTAAATAAAAAGAAGTCTTAGTACATTTAATGTGAAATGGGAGAGTATGGCTTTTCACACGCCCAGTCCTAAAAAAAGACATGAAAGGGGGCAGAGCAACTCTGCCTAGGGCTTCCTGTAGTCAGCCGCTGATCAGTTTCAGCAGCGGCTGAATCTGGAGCCAGTTCCGACTTACATACAAATTCAACTTAAGAACAAACCTATAGTCCCTATCTTGTACGTAACCCGGGGACTGCCTGTATTTGATCTGAGGAAGTGGGTCTGGCCCACGAAAGCTCATCACCTAATAAACCATCTTGTTAGTCTTTAAAGTGCTACATAGTCCTGTTTTTTGATTCAACTACACCAGACTAACTCGGTTACATTTCTATCACTATTCTACACACCCATATGACTGAGTACCTTTGGACCCCTTGCTCCATTGATCTGAAGAAGTGGATTGTGCCTACTAAAACTCATGGTGATATCTACATTTTTGTTAGTCTCTAAAGTGCTGTAGGATCACTTGTTGTTTTTAAGTTCCCTCTGTTTTTCATCCACGTGTAGAATACATTTTGTTATGTGTATCAAGGCATGTGCATATATGTACTGCTAACAGAAACATTTTGCTGGCTGTGGCTGCTCTGCTAATCAGCTGGGTGGCATTTGAATCTCTCCTGGATGGCTGCCCAAGCGCTCATCTTACAGGGAACACTGCCTACTGGTATACTTCACGAGGCATACTGGAGCGGTCGACAAAGGCTTCCCTTGTCGACCACGCTGCATCTAGACTGCCGCGCTGTGCTGAATCAGCTGATCGTTAGCACAGTGCGGTGGCCATTTTTATTTTAATGAAGCGGGGATTATTTAAATCCCCACTTCTTTGACTATGCCAAGTAAACTATTTTTAGTCTATACGTACCCTTATTCCCTTTATCAACCCTATACCATCATCTACCCAGTCAGCTGCTTTTCAGGCTAACATCAATTAGCACCCTGCCTTCTGTTATCCTGGAGCTGTAAAATCTGCAGGCATAAATGTTTTATTTCCTCCAAGCCTTTCAAG